AGAATCAGTAACCAAGCATAGGATTAGTCAATGTTCTTTATGCTTGGACCAAAGGGTAAAGAATATGTATGATTCTATTTGGCACAATATAAATTGAACTAATTCATTTTATCCATTCACTATAATTTCTTGACAAGGAGAAGGATGTTTTCTTATATTGAATATCACAAATTAAACCCTACTTTCTATTATTAGTTATTTATTAGTTATCCAAATTATCTACTTATTTCAATTGCCTATTAGTGACAGATAAGCAAATTGAACGCCGTCGTTGTAGTTGAAGTATTACTTTTTATTAAGCCTTAGTCCGTAGTATTCTATTTCTCCCTGTGGGATCGATAACTAGGACTCCATTTGAGCCCTATATTACTTGAGCGATACGTATACTTGCGTTGACAAATTCAACTTTGACATTATTGAATATTATATCTATACATCTTTATTAAATCAAACACATATATATAAAAAGTCGCAGTCAAGTTTTTGGCGCCGTTACCGGGGATTTAAATCTTCTAGTAGCGTCATTAAATTCTTGTAATTGTTGATTTACAAAAAGAAAAAGGTCGGTCAAGCACCCAATAAAACAATATATCATCGAGTACACCATGCAACAATGCATTCCAAAGATGGAGTAATGATGCACTCTGAATCTGATGTAATGACACACACTGATGATAGTGTATCAACACACCCCGTAAACGGTGCAACATTACTTCTTGAATGTTGTGTAACAATACACCCCGAATACGGTGCAATAACACCCCCCAATGATAGTTTAACTACACACCCACATATGGTGCTATGAAGCCTCTCAATGATGATTTAATAACGCGCCCCAAAGACTATTACTTCTTCGAACTCCTAACTCTCTCTCCTCATAGCTGACTACTATGACCTACATTGCTTACAGCTCGTGCATCTTCAAACTCTGACCTCTATGGTCTACGGAAGTCATCGTAGCTCAACATTACAACATATGTAATCAACTATGACCTACATGGCTCACAACTCATGCATTTTCTGACTTCGGTCTTTGTGGCCTACAGACGTCACCATAACTCATCACTATGACCTATGTGACCAACTAAGTATATGCTATCCCCAGCTTGTGTAACTCCCGACTTCAGCCCCTGTAACCTATAGATGTCATCACAATTCACCACTACGGTCTACATGACCAGTTGTGACTTATGTGATCCACAGATCGTATAGTTCTTGACTCCAGCCCTTGTGGCCTACAGATGTCATCACAACTCACCACTACGACATATATGACCAACAATGACTAACATGGTCCACATCTAATTTGGTTCTCAACTGTAGTCTCTATGACCCACGTACATCATTACAGCTCACCACTACGACCCACCTGATGAACTAAGACCTACGTGGTCCACAACTCATGCAACTCTCGACTCTAGCCCCTGCGGTCTACGGACATCATCACAACTCACCACTTCATTTGTGACTAACTACAACCTACATGATTCATAACTCGTGTAACTTCTAAATCCCCTATGACCTACGAACGTCATGATAGTTCACCATTACGGCCAACGTGATCAACTAAAATCTACAAGATCCACAGCTCGTGAAGCTCTTGACTTTTGCCTATACAGCCTACAAATGTCGCAACTCACCACTACGGGCTAGAACATCGCACAACACTTACTTCTCTTGCTTACTTCTCTTTCATTATGAGTTTGCGCTAGAGCATCGCACAACGCAAAGACGCTAAACAATCACTCAGCCCCCACAAACCTTCCGACACACATCAAACATCAACCTTTTATTTCATATAAAAGACACCCCAATTTTATTTAACTTCTAAAAAATGAAATAAATATTTTCATGCATAAATAAAATGTCGTGTATCTAAAAATTGAAGTTAGATTTTAGATATGTAACTACTTAAGAATTGAGTGGTATATCTGTAAAGCATCCAAATTTTAATTCTATATAAATTATGTTAAGTTAAATTTATAATCATATATTTTAAAATCACAAACTTCATTAACATGAGTTTAGCCAAGCTAATCCATAGCATTTCCACCGGGCACCAACCAAACGAGTTACCAGCAATTTTGCAAACTTCAATTTTTTCATACAAAGAGGGTGATTAAGAATGGGGAATTGTGTCGCGTTAAGTTTAGCTTCTAGAATTTTAAATGTGGTATAGGATAATATTTTTTGTTTATCATCAACTAAACATTACATGATTCATTATAAGCTATAATTTTATTGCAATTTTTTTATTTATATTGGTAATTATAATATATGTATGTGTGTGTATATTATATATTTTAGGTTTAAATTTTTTTTAATTTGTTCATATCTAAATTATAAT